GCCTCCCGTTGCCGCCCCTATCACTACGCATCTCCCGTCTTATCCCTCTCGCCGTCCTTCTATCCCTATCCCTGTGCTCCATACCCGAAATCCTCATCCCAGCCCCTTTCCCTTGAGCCGTACCCTTTGATTCCTATCCCTATATCCCGAGCCCTATATCCCCATCCCTACTCCAGTCCAAATCCCTATCCCGATCCCTATCCAGAGGCTCCCGTCGTGGCCCCTTTATTGGAAAGAGCGTGTTCTACCGCTGCTGGCGGAAAACCGGGGGGGGTCACTACCGGTTCGAACCCCCCCCCCCTCTCCGGAAAACCGGGGGGGGTTACCGGTTCGAACCTCCCCCCCCCCCAGCTCATCATGAAAAGGGGGGGGGTCACTACCGGTTCGAACCCCCCCCCCCTCGAAAACCGGGGGGGGGTCACTAACGGTTCGACCCCCCCCCCCCTCGAAAACCGAGTGGGGGTGCGGACAGTGGTGGTGGGGACGGTGTTGGTGGGGACAGTGGCGAGGGGACAGCGGGACAGTGGTGGGGACAGTGGGACAGTGGGACAGTGGTGGGGACGTACAATGGTGGTGGGGACAGTGGTGAAGGCGGTGGCGAGGACGGCGGTGGGACAATGGGACAGAGGTACAGTGGGGACAATGGTGGGGACAGTGGGGACAGTGGTGGGAACAGTGGGACAGCTCAGTGGGACAGCGGGAGTGGGAGTCAGTGGACAGTGGGGATAGTCGGGCAGTGGTTGGGTCCGTGGAGACAGTGGGGAGAGTGGAACAGTGGTGGGAACAGTGGTGGGAACAGTGGGGACAGTGCGACAGTGGTGGGGGCACTGGTGGGGACAGTAGGGACGGTGGTGGAACCAGTGGGGACAGTGGTGGTGAGGACAGTGGTGCTGGGAACAACAGTGGGGGATGTGATGCGGACGGTGGTAGGGACCGGGAGTCGTTTGCTGGCGGTGCGTGTGGGGAGGGGGGGGTCGAACCGGTAGTGACCTCCCTCGGGTTTTCGAGGGGGGGGGGGGGTCGAACCGGTAGTGACCCCCCCCGGTTTTCCAGATCCGGAGGGGGGGGGGGAGGAAGGGTTCGAACTGGTAGTGGTAGTGACCCCCCCGGTTTTCGAGGGGGAGGGGGGGGGGGGGGGGAGGGGAGGGTTTTTGCGGGGGGAGGGGGGGGGGGGGGGGGGTCCAGCAGGGGGGGGGGATTTTCGGAGAGGGGGGGGGGGGGGGGGGGGGGCGACCCCCAGGCTCCGGAGGAAAAGGCTGGCAATTTTCCACAGTAAAGCGGCGGTGGATCACGCTCTCTCCTTCATCGTGATCCCCCAACGTGGCCCGCATTGTAAGCCTGTGGTGCTGATGATGGCATCCTGCCGCAAGGGTGTCGTATGTGTGTCCCTCCTGCCGGCGACGAGGCAGCTGCCTTGAGGATGAGAAGAGGAGGGAGAGGAGGAGGAGGAGGAGGAGGAGGAGGAGGAGGAGGAGGAGGAGGAGGAGAAGGAGGAGGAGGACGGGGGAGGGAGGAGAGAGGATGGAGGAGGGAGGAGGGAAAGCAGGTGGAGGGCGAGGAGGAGGCGAGAAGGAGGGAGGAGGAGCAGGAAAAGGAGGAGGGAGGAGGAGGAGGAGGAGGAGGAGGAGGAGGAGGAGGTGGAGGAGACGGAGGAGGAGGGGGAAAAAGAGGAGGAGGATCAGGACCAGCGCAAGCCCAAGACTCACGAACGATGTTGGAAGACAACCTCCCTCCAAGCTCCCTCTGCATAAGCCCCTACAAGGATTCATTTCCACTGACGAGAGTCACTGAGTGCCCTGGTGGGGACATCCATGTGATAATCTTGTAGCGCGTCAAGATACCATTCTCATGACTATAACGTCACGAGTCAACCTGACTGTTGCGTCAAGGCAATCATGTATCTTGCCAGGGCACCATTCCTGGAACTGCAACACCGCGAATTGAAGTAACTGTTGCGCCCTGGCAGTCCTGAGTCATCCCAAAACACCCATTCAGTACGCGAGCCATGATAATAAGTGAACATATCGTAAACTGGTGAAGCGAATGTTCGCGGCGCTGGGGCGAGAGACACATGCTGGAAACACAATCCTGCACTCAATCCGTTCAACTCTTTTAAGCTGTTGAAGCGACTGTGCGGCGGCAAGGCGATAACCACTTTTTGAACGGGACCGCCCCCAATCCTTTAACGTGATGCAGTGGATTGGAAGGAGCGCGCGCTGCGCTAAGGCGAGGGCCATACTCTGGAAAGATGCCGCCCTCAGCTCGTGAAGCTCGTGAAATTGTTTAGAACGAGTGCGCACGGCGCTAACGCGAGAACCACGTTTTGGAAGCGGCCCGCCTTCCATATGCGAGACTGCCTTCGGCTCTTAAGCTCCATGGTCATACATTCAAAGGAGGTCCCAGGCGAAACGCTAGGCCCGCCCTTCCGATGGGCCTCGGGGTGCGACAGGGAGGTGTTATTCATGATGAGAAAGATGTAGGAGGAGGAGTAGGAGGAGGAGGAGGAGGAGGAGGAGGAGGAGGAGGAGGAGGAGGAGGAGGAGGAGGAGGAGCAGGAGGAGCAGGAGGAGGGAGGAGGCGGAGGAGAGCTACCCACCCCATCCCTGCGCCTGCTCATTCGAGTTGGAGCTGGCCCAGGAGGGCCTCGGGGCCCGAAGCAGGGGCCACGGCGACCGCCCCCGAGCTGTTCCTCGGATCGCGCAGCGGCCAAGGATCGTCGAGGCGAGTGCTGCACTCGGACTCGTGCACAGTGCGATTCCGTGAGCCAAAAAGCCCTGCGGGGAAGCTCCTGGGCCCCCCCCCCAGAGAGGCCCCCCTCCCAAGAGGAGCTTCACAAACACTCCCGAAAGATGCCATGACGCTGGACACACATGTCCCCGCCGGCCTGGACGAGAGCTGGATACAAGAATGGCCCGATGTCTGTGCAGCGCTCGGCCCCTGTATGGCCAGGCGCGCTGGCCTCTTATATGTAGGTCCAGCGCGTGGCCTTTAAGTGTTTCACGCGTGAATGCAACCCTGTGTGCTCCCAGCTTCCTGGTCGGCCACCCCCTCGGGCGCCTAGAGAATCGCGCCTGGCGCGTCGCGGCCTGGGCCGAGGACTTGCCCTTCTCCAGGACGGCGGCGCGAGGGCGCGAGGATGACCTCGCGCCACGCACTGCGGGGGAGCGATGCGCGAAGCTGCGTGACCAGGGACCCCTCGAGCCCCCCTTGAAGCCCCCGCCAGGTCGTGCCGGAGGGAGCCAGAATTTATTATGGGGTTGTACTTGGACCGGCATGGGGTGGCTATTCAAAACCTCATTGTGACTCGGGTGGTCGCTCCGACCGCAAAGATTCCCCGACCATGTTCAACTACTGGCATCGGAAATCGCAAGTTGCCAGCTTCACTTCTTCGAACGTGGGAACGATGTATTCCCAGGCGCAATACCGTCGCAGCTGGAAGGCAGCGGAAACTGTTTTTGTTGGGGGCTGTCGCCTGGGTGGGTGGAGCTTTTCGCTCTGCTGGAAGTGTCAGGCCTCGGGGCCTCTCGTGGCACATTAACTACGTACACCGTGCGCTGGCGCAACTTCCGATCGCTTGAGAAGTCGCATAAGGCGCGGGCGAGACTTGTGCCCAGATCCAGTGCAGCTTGGAGTGTCGGGCTTCATTTCCTAGAAACCCGAGGCGCACCGGACATGGATGAAGCTGTGGCCCCTAGAGGCTCGATTTTTAGCCATACCCAGTGCGCCTCGGCCTTGCAGCGTCCCTTCAAAAAAATACCAAGTCGCACTGGATATGAATAGAAATATTGCCCGCGTAAGGGGGATACCATGGCCGACGCTTTGGGGGAACGCGCCGCTTCGGGCCAGATCTGGGGCCCCGACGAGCTCTCGTGCCTCCCCGCCTGGGTCCCTGCGAAGATCAGGAGGGGAAAGAACGCACAGACACAACGAATCGTCGCTCCCCAGGAAAGTGTGGGACAATACGGGAAGTGGTGGGGAAGACAAAAATCCAGAAAATAGTTCAAGATATGGGGAGTTCTGTTATTTGTGTGTATTTCTTTGTGTGTGTGCGTGTCCCAGGGCCCATTCAGAAGAGCGCTGACGTCGGGAACTCCTGCCCGCGTGCACATGCGTTGGGGGCGTGCGCCAAGGAGTGTGCCCCGAGGCTTCAGCCCCGGGAGGACTCCTGATCTGAGATGGGGGTGGCGTCCCAGGGCCGCTCCACGACGGGAGCTCCACTGGCTTTCAGACCCCAGATTCCTCATCCCGGGTCCCTCATCCAATTCGGCGGCCCCGGATTCCTCGGCGAGCTAGGGGGGTAGTGAGAAGCAGAAGGCCTCCTCAGAATGTTCGGAAGTCCTCGGGGCTTCTTAGAAGTTGTCTAAGCCTCCCCCGAAGACAACAAAGACTCCTCAGAAGGCGCGAGTGCATCTGAGAAGTCCCGCCGCCTTCTGAGAAGGCCTTCTCCTTCTCGCTCCCCCCCTCCCTCGCCGCCGACCCATGCCCTCACCGTGCGTACCTCGGTCTTCTGGCCCCAGGGGCCGGCGCCAGCGAGGTGCCCCGCTTGCCCGCGCGGCCCGCTCGCGCGCGCGCCGTGCCGCGATGCTCCCGGCGATCGCCGGGCGGCTGGGCCGCGGGCGCCCGCGGCTGGCCGGGGCTGCCGCGCTGGCCCCGCCGTCGGCGCGCCAGGGGGGGGCAGGGCGCGAGGTGACGGGCCTGTTCTCCACCACCCTTGCTATGTGCAGGAGGGGGGAGAAGGGAGAATGGGGAGGTCCTCCTCCTCCGGGTCCTCCTGCTCCGTTTCCTCCTTCTCCTCCTCCTCCTCCTCCTCCTCCTCCTCCTCCTCCTCCTCCTCCTCCTCCTTCTCCCTCCGTAGCCATTTTGGCTCAAGACTCCATGCTTTGGTGGGCTGCGCCCACTGGCATCCAACGGATACCGCTGTTACCGCGGCTGCTTTCAGGTTCTCCGCCTGGTTCGCCCCAGGTGCGGAGCTCTGCTTCAGTCTGCAGAGCCGCCAACTCATGGGCCGCGGCGGCGGGGACAAGGGCGCTCATGGCGGGGCCTGCGGCCAGGGCAAGGACAAGTCGGGCTCGTTCGTGGCTTGCACGCACTGCCGTTACCGGTGGAACTTCAAGTCCAATCACTGGTGTTACCAGTGCTGCTCGCCGCTGGTGCCGTACCCGTCGGCCGACAAGAAGCCAGCGGGCCAGTGGACGTTCGGTCCGCCAGCGGTGGCCTCGAGCCCCTTCGCGGATGCCGCTGCTGGTGCTGCCGCGGCGCCGCCTCCTGGGAGCAAGGGCCCGCCAGTCCCGAAGCGTGGCGCCAAGGGAGGCCAGGCCAATCGTCGGCCCTGGGTCTGGCACGGTCCTGGCTGGTACCCTCACGGGGGTGGCCCGCCCCCAGCGCCTGAGGCGGAGGCGGCTCCTGCGGCGGACCCACTCGCGGCCTTGCGAGCCGAGCTGGGGGACTGCGCCGAGCTGGAGGCCATCGCCGCCAGGAGGGATGCGGCCAAGACTCAGCAGCCCGAGCCCGCCCCTCGTCGACCGCCGCTGCTGGAGGAGGAGGAGTCCACCAAAGGCATCGCGTGCAGGCGTGCGCAGGCGTGGCTGGAGACCTGCGCCGCCCGTGTCGTCGAGGGGGAGGCGTGGCTGGCCGCTGCCAAGGCCGCGGAGGACGACGCCGTTGCTGCGGCGCATCAGGCCCAGCTTGACTGGGAGGAGGCTTGCAAGAAGCAGCTGCCGTCGCCTCCCCTTGAAGGCGAGGAGGACAAAGGCCAGGCACCCGCTGCTTCGGCCATCAACGTCTCCACGCTCGTTGACGAGGGCACGCTGCAGATCGTGGACGGGCCGCTCTTCAACATGGAGGGGCTCGAGATCGACAGCGGCGACAAGGACGAGTGGAACCGCATCAAGGCAGAGCTCGCAGCCAGCGTCCAGGAGAAGGTGCAGCAAGCTCTTGGCCCAGCCGCTGAGCAGATTGTCAAGCTCCGCGACGAAGCCAAGCAGCTGCACGCCAGGATGCAGGCCAAGCGGCGCCGCGGCCCCGACGGCGAGGCCACCGCAGCCGGGGGTGCCGCGGCCGCGGCGGGCGGCTCTGCTGCCGCTCCTGCCGCTTCTGCCGCTGCTGCTGATGGCGTGGGCGTGGCAGTGCGCGACCTCAGCGGCCCTGAGTCAATGCGCGCTGCCGCTCGTGCCAAAGCAGTCCAAGCAGCCGAGCTCAAGGCCAAGTCAGAGGCCGATGCAGCAGGCTCCTAGCCTCGCTCGGCAGCCTCAGCCGAAGCAGTCCAAAGACAAGGATCCCAGGTGTGGCTGCGCAACCCCCAGGTTCTGGTTGAAGAGGGCGATGCGGCGCACTTCATGGCGCTGGGTGTTGAGTACGTGGCGGATTGGCTGGCTCACCCTGAATTTCGCCATTTCATCGACGATGCCATCCTGATCGCGGGGCACGACAATGCAGATACCGTCCAGATGGATCTCGCCAGGGACATTTGCGCTGCAGCATGGAGAGCGAAGAAGCACATCCGCTTGAACTACCACAGTTGCCTGCAGCGCCTCGAGCTGACGGACCATGAGGCGTGGGAGCAGGAGCTTGCACGCCACGGGGAGACCATGGCGACTGCTATCGAGCTCTTCGACGAGCGCCCACCGCCACCCAGGCGGCAGGCAGACACCAGCATCGAGTTCGTTGTCGAGCCCCCCTTCTGCGGCAGGCCCTACTAACGAGGCGCCGCTGTGTCTGGTGAGACTTCGCCACCCCTTCCGCGGTCGGCCAACAGTAATCTTCTTCCAGGTCACGGTGGTCAGGCCGACCGCGAAGGCCCCCCCTGGGCTACGGCCATCGAAGAGGGTGAGGGCAGATCACCTTCGTCATCGGCGCCGCCCAGGCATTCGCCTACAGCGGCTGGTGCAGCTACGGTCGCGGCCGCCCCCCCGCTGAGAGGGGGGCGAGCCGCGGCGCAGGTGCCAGTGCGGATCCGTCGTCGACGATGTCCACGTGTGCGCCAGCTTCCTCGGCTTCTCCGATTGCGACCTGGGCGTCGTCTTCCTTACTCCAGGGGTGCCGGCGTCGAGCCCTTCAGGCGTTAGAACGCAAATCCCGAAGCTCCTCGAGTCGGGTTCAACGTCGCAGTTTTGCCAAGGCGTTAGAGCGCAAATCCCGACTTTGACGTTGGGTTCACAGTCGCCACAGCCGTCTTTCGACACGGATGCCGAGGAGCCAGGCGTTAGATCGCAAGTCCCGCTCGCGGGCTCGAAGTCGCCGTTTTGTCAAGGCGTTAGAGCGCAAATCCCGACATTGATGCCGGTTTCACAGTCGCCACCGATCGAAACGGACGCAGAGCCACAAGGCATTAGGACGCAAGTCTCGCTTGAGCGGGCCCCACGGTCAGTTTGCGGCCTGCCGAGGTTCGACGAGGGGTACCACGACCCATTCGACGACTTGGACCAGGGGCGTCAAGACGCGGACGACGATGCTGCTGCGCTATTTCAAGCAGATGCTCCTGGTCCCGAATCGTCGGGAGCCGCGGCACTCCCAGCTTCCGAAGAGCCCCCGCGGTTACCTCCAGCTCCGCCCTGGTGCCCTTTGGAACCTGTCAAGAGGCAGTCTGACCATGCTCGCATCTTCTTTGGCAACGCGACAGAATGGGGGCCTTACGCCCAGGGCTTCTCCCGAGGGGTGGGCCAGCAGTTCGAAGTGCTGGCACTGGCGGAGACCCACGTCAGCTCCTCGCAGATGCCGAAGGCCCAGCTCAACTGCCTCAAGGATGGGTGGAAGCTCGCGGCCACGCCTGCCGAGGCCTCAGTCAAGTCCGAGTCGGGCACCAGAGGGGGGGCGAGTGGGTGTTAGCCAAACGACACCTAGCCACCACAAGTTGGGAGGCCTTTCGTAAAGCTGGACGGCCCTTTCGTGGTTTCTGTTCGCTCACACTGCACCTGCGGAAGGGCAACGTGGTCATTATCTCAGCGTACCTGTTTCCAGGGCACAAGTTGGGTGGCGACAGTGGCCCAATGGTGAAGGCACTCACGGCCTTCCTGGCCACCCTCGCCGACCCTTGGATGGTCATGGCCGATTGGAACATCAGCCCCCAGGTTCTGACGCAGTCAGGCATTCTTGGCCTATGGGACGGGGAGATTGTCACCCCAAGCGACGTTGAGTCCACCTGCACCAAGGGGGACAGCGCCTCCCTGATCGACTACTTGGTGGTCAAGCGCGAGTTCCACGAGCAGGTGCAGGTCCAGGGTTTCGCAGAGGTGCCTTGGCGCACACACATCGGGCTGGACATACAGATCTCTGATGCGCACAAAGATTGGTGGCATCGAGTGGTTACTCTGCCGCAAGCGTTACCTCCACGCGACCGCCCGAGGCGCCAGGCCAACCCCAACAGCACGCGCCAGAAGCAGCTGGAGGAAAGGATGATCGACCGTCGGCAGCGGCTACTTGACGAGTTGCACGAAAGTTTTGACGACTTGCACCCTCCGCCTGACACTCCTGGAAGTGCGGCTGTTTCGGTCCCCTTCTACGTCCCCTCCGAGACCTGGGACCTGTGCTGGCAGGAGCCTGGTGATACGGTTCCCAGCAATCTTTTGGACCACAGTGTCGCCTGGGCAGTCCCCCGCAACAAGGACGCGGTCACGGCTCTTTCAGCACGGTACAGCCATTGGGTGTCCACCGTCGAGCAGGCGATCCTGACTACCGAACAGGTTCCCAAAGACGAGTGGGACAGGTACCGAGGGCGCGGCCAGATGTACGGATGGAAGTGGACACGCCTTAAGGCGTCGCCTGGCCGTACACGCATGCGTTCGCCTAAGATGGAGTGGTCGTGGACAATCGAATCCATCATAGTGCGATACCGTTCATTGGTTCGCAACGGCTCCGATCTTGATCAGCAGCACCGCTGTGTGCTAGCTCTCAATTCCATGGTGACTCAGGCCCTGGAGCAGCCGCGTGCGGTCATCTTCGGCACCAAGGCTACCAACGACGAGGTGGACCACTGGATCAACTTGATTCTGTTGCCGAACGGCGAGTCCGACGTTGACACCTTAGACGAGATAGTGGAGGTCACTGAGAGGTGGGTCGGCCGCGCCTTTGCGCGCTCTTTGACCGCGGCGTCTCAAGCGCATGTCAGGTGGGCCAAGGACATGTGGGCCCACAAGCCGCGCTTCCTTCACCAGCACGTGAAGGACCCAGGCCCCCTGGAGGTCCTGGAGGTGGAGTGTGTCTTGCCGCCTGGAGCTACTTCAGATCCGCAATTGATCATGGCTCAGAAGGTGGAGAGGTGGGTCCCCATCTGGACCGACAACAACGCGTCCCACGACGCACTTCTGGACACGATGGAGCTGCTCCACACGCAGAGCACGATCGGTGCTCTGCCGCCGCTCACTACTGATGACTTGGAGCCGCTGTGGAACAAGTTACCGAGCTCCAAGGCCAAAGGTGTTGACGTCCTCGGGCCGCTGGCCGCCAAGCTCGAGGTGGTCGCCATCCTCAACGCTGCGGAGGAGGTTGGCTCATGGCCGTTGCAGTTGCTGCTGACGATGTGCGCCGCTCTGCCGAAGCCTGCTGGCGGCGAGCGCATCATCAGCGTCTTTCCGAAGATCGTGGGATTGTGGTCACGTGCGCGGTCGTCTGCCACCGACAGCTGGGCCGACAGCAGGAGCGACTTCTGGGACACCGCGGTGCGGCACTCGTCGGCGTTGGGAGCCGCCCTGCAGCGGTCCGTCATGGACGAGGCCGCCCATGAGCTGGGTTTTGTCTGTGGCTGTGCTACTGCTTGGTTTAGCAAAATTGTATGACAACATCTCTCTTCTGAAGCTGATGCAGATCGCTTTAGCTCAGTCTTACCCTGCCGTTGTAGCTCTGTTGGAAGTCCAGATGTTTTTGGCTCCGCGGGTTTTGAAATCTCGGGCCGTGGCCAGCGAATTTGCGTTCCCGACTCGGTCCTTGGTCGCGGGGTCCTCCAAGGGAGTTTCGCTGGCCAAATTTTCCTGGGACCCATCATGGAGGAGGCCCACAGGGTGCTGGCCGTGAGTCAGGCCAAGGCCTCTTCTGCCATCTGGACGATCGTAGACTGTTGCTCGGTCCGAAGGGAGATGGGCCGACGTTTCTGGCCAGATGTCGGGGCTCGCTGACTCGTTTGTGCGGTCGTTTGCGGACCAGGAGCTCCCGATATCTTCCAAGACCAAGCTTGTGGTCAACACTCCCAGGTTGGGCCCCGAGCTTTTGACCAAAATCAACCGTCTGGGGATGCCGGCCTCGCTCGTTAAAACTGCGGTGGATTTGGGGTGTGACGTTGCGGGGGGGTCGCGTCGGTCGCGCGTGAAGCTCAACCAGCGACTGAGCAAGGGCCGCTCCAGAGGTGCTCGCATTAATAAACTTCGCAGGCACGCTTCTCTTGCCAAGGAGTCCCAAGGTCTGTGGCTGCAGGGGGCGTTGCCCCAGTCGGTGCATGGGCACCAGGCAATGGGGCTTTCCCCTTTCTCCATCCTCCAGTTGCGGAGGCAGGCGGCCCAAGCTGTCGCGGGCAAGGGCCCAGGGCGCTGCCTCACCACCACTCTGGCGATTTGGTTTGGGGACAAGGACCCTGGGATCAGTTCACGGACCCAGCTGGTCCGCTCCTGGCTCGACCTCTGGGACAAGTGCCCCTCCCTCCACCCTCGTATCGTGAAAGCTTGGCCATTGGTGGCCGCGCGTCTTGGGCGCGACCCCAAGTTTAGGTGGCGGAAAGTCCGAGGGCCTATTGGGGCCATCATCGCCACCCTGAGAGACGGAGTTTGGAGGCCCATCTCTCCCACCGAATGGCGCAGGCCCATCGGGGCCGATACGTTTGAAACCTGGCAGTTTCCTGACATCGCGGCCGATCGAGTCGCTGGAGGTTTTAGAAGCTCAGCTGTGGCAGCAGGCGGCTAAACACGAACACGGGGATGTTCTCGCCTCAGGTGCCGACGTGACTGCCATGCGTTCTCAGCTCCAGCGTTTCCTGAAACGTGATGAATTCGATCAGATCGGTCAGATGGTCACAGTTGCCTCTGGAGGCCAGTGGCCTCATCAGAGGCAGCGAGATCGAGGCTATCTTGTTTCCTTGAAGTGTCCGCGTTGCGGGGCCCCAGGGGATACCCTTTTCCACCGTATTTGGGAGCGCCCCTGCAACAAGGATGACCCCGCTCATGAAAAATCAGAGTTTTTAGTTGCTCAGGCCCGCGCAGGCCACGAGGCCAACCCGAGTCTCTGGCTGCGCGGGCCCCCGCCTCGCGCATTCACGTGTCCTGACTTTCGTGGCGGGGGGGAGGACGTGGAGTGGGGGGTGGACGGAGAGCACTCGGACGTCCTCGACTGTAGAGAGGAGGGCATGCTGCTCGTTTTCGGCGACGGCTCGGGAGGGCAATTTAGCAGCGACCCTCGTCGCCGAAAGGGTGGGCGCGGCTGCGATTACGCTGGCGCCAGCCTCTGGAGGCTGGACTCGGGCCCGCGGCTTTGCCTCGACCCTTGGAGGTCGCCGCCAAACGGTGCCCAGAGCCGAGATCCTCGCGTTTGAGCTTGCGCTTCGCCGATTTCCAGGCCCGTTGCGTTTTGTCACGGACAACGCGGCCCTCCATCGAGGGTGGCACTCCAGAAGGCATGGGCGTTGTAAAGGCCCCAACTCTGACCTCTGGTTCCGCGTCCGCGCTGCCCTCGCTGAGAGGGGAGAGGGTGAAGTCCAGGTGGTGTGGTACCCGTCGCACGTTGACCCTGGGGGCCCCGCCCTCTCCCCTCAGGAGCGGTTGTTCGCCGCGGGCAATGGGTTTGCCGACGTTCTCGCTGGAGAAGCGGCCAAGTTTTCCTGGACCCACGGCCTCCGGGGCCAAAGGCCCCCCGATACGGATCTATGGGATTGCACGGCGTCGCTGGTTAGGCGACGAGCGGCGAAGGCTATGGTGGACTCCATCAGTGTGGTCCCGTGGTCCGCCGAGCGGCCTCCCGAGGCTCGTCGGGTTGTTGGCTTCCCTGAGGCCCTTCTTAAGAGCGAGCACTCTTTGGTCAGGAGCGAACGTAAATGGCTGTGCTCGCTGTGTCACCAAGTAGCCCCCGTGCATGATGTTGCCGCCTTTGCGGCGACGCAGGGTCAAGAGGCGAGCCCTGACCTTTCAGGTCTCGCCGATCATGGGGTGGTGCGGGCTGGTGGGGCGGTGACTGTTGGGGGGAAGGTCTGTCACTCCTCACACAATTTGCATTTCTGGCCCAAGTTTGGGCTACATTTTTGTTTGACGTGTGGTAAAACGGCCACGGAGGACCCACGTCATTTAGTTGCCGAATGCAAAGACCGCACCAAGAAAGGTCTTGAGAACCTTCAACGAATTCAAAAGGGACTGTTTCCCAGCCACGCGGGGCCGTCGAAGACGCCCCAGGCACGTGATCTGGACACTGTCAGGCGCGAGGCTGCCCTCCGAGGCCCGCCGCCTGTTGCTCGCTGAACTCGCTGCCACCCCGTGGATATCAGCGAATTCCAGCGAATTCCTCCTCCTTCTCCCTCTCCGACCATTGGTAGTGGTGGTGGAACTCCGGCCCATCACAAGCGGCCGTGCGTCCTCGTCGTCGACGTCAGCCTTCGTTGCGTCGGCCTCGTCGCCGTGCTCGTCGTCGGCCTCGTCGCCCGCCTTCGTGCCCGCTGGCCTCGGCATCGTCGTCGTGCTCGGCGTCGTTGGTGTCGGCTTCGGCTTCGGCGTCGGCGGCGCCGCCGTCGGCCTGCACAGCGATGACACATCATGAACACCACTCTCCTCTCTCCCCTGATTATGTCTGGAAGGATGTCGGGCCTGTCCGCGTGATCTGTGATACAGGATGTCAAACGCTTGCTTTTGTCAGGGTCGTTTTGCAATCCGACTGCTTTCGGTGATTTTAAAGGGTGTTCCCGCTACAGCGTGGGCCTCCTATTCGGATCTGCGAATTCTCCCCGTCGTTCAGAATGCGGCCATCGCCCCAGCCCGGGCCGCTTTTCCGCATCCGAGTCATTTTTCATTGCTGTCCCCCCTCATTCCCCCTCCGCCTCCCCCTGGTCCTCTTGTTCCTCCCGCGCCTTTCAATCCAGCACCTGCTACGGCTGTTCGTCCTCGTCCTCCTCCTTTCTCATCATCATCATCCTTTTCCTCCTGCTCATCCTCTTGCTCCTCCGCCACCTCCTCCTCCTCCTCCTCCTCCTCCTCCTCCTCCTCCTCCTCCTCCTCCTCCTCTGAGCAATGCAGATCAATGGGGTCCTCTGAGGCGTCCCAGGTCCGCTGTGACACGCGTCACCGGATACATAGAGAAACCAAAGCGCAGTGGGAAGGGATGGGAGGGAGTGGTGGGATGTCAGATATGGCGCGAGCGCACCTATCTTGTTTTCCCCCCCTCTTCCTCCCCTTGTGGGATGTTCGGGACAATCCTGGAGCCCCCGAGCCCTCTGGACGGTGTCGACGGAAGGAGCGACTCCCTCCCCCGACCACCTGGTGCACGGAGGGCGGAAGCCCCGCTGGCGCACGCAAAGATCTCCTTCTTGCCCTCCGTCCTTCCTCCTCCTCCTCCTCCTCCTCTCCTCCTCCTCCTCCTCCTCCTCCTCCTCCTCCCCCCTCCTCCTCCCCCCCGACTCCGACTCCCCCTCCTCCTCCTCCTCTCCTCCTCCTCCTCCTCCTCCTCCTCTTCCTCCTCCTCCTTCTTCTCTTCCTTGTCCTCCTCCTCCTCCTCCTCCTCTCCTTTCCCCAGTTTCCTACTCCTCCCTGTTATTTTCTACCGTCTTCACCTCCCCCTGCATCTCCATCTATCTCCATCTATCTCCATCTATATCATCTCCATCTCCTCCTCTGTCTCCGCTTGCTCCGCTACCCCCTCCTCCCTCTCTCCATTCCTCTCCCCCTGTTTCGCCTCCCGCTTCCCCTCCCCCTCCTCCACTCCCTCCCATTGGTGCTTCTGCTGCTGCCCATGCTCTCCCTCTTCTTCCAGGTCGCGCTATCTTGAATATTGATATTCGGGGCGCAGGGAGGCGGGGAGAGAAATGGTGCAGTGGAAAGGTTGAGGAAGGAGGGGAGGTGGACGGTAGGAGGATTATGAGGGGGACGACGACGACGATGGTCACGACGACGACGGCGAAGAAGACGATGAGGAAGAGGACCAGGACGAGAAGGAGGGGGATGAAGAGGATGAGAAGGGGATTCGAGCAGGAGAAGGGGAGGAGGAGGAGGAGGAGGAGGAGGAGGAGGAGGAGGAGGAGGAGGAGGAAAAGGAAACGGAGGAGGAGGAGGAGAGGAGGAGGAGGAGGAGGAGGAGGAGGAAACGGAGGAGGAGGAGGAGGAGGAGGAGGAGGAGGAGGAGGGGAAGTGGAGGAGCAAGATCCCCCCCCACCCCCCCCCTGGCATCCTTCCCCCGCGCCCCCAAGCGCCTTGGGGGGGGGGGAGGGGGAGAGGGGGGGGCGGGCGGGCCGGGCTGTCCGGTGCGGCCCCTCTGTCTGCTCGCCCTGCAGGCCCAGCGCCTGGCGCCGGGGCCCCCGCCCGCGGTGGGCAGGCCGGGGGCCCAGGCCTCGGGGCGAGGGTTGAGGAGGAGCAGTCAGGGGCACCGACAGGGGGGGATACCACAGGCACGGGGGAGGAGGCATCGACCCCCGATCGCCCATGGATCGCCGACAGGGGTCTGATAGCCCCAGGCCGCCCGGGAAGGGGCGAACTCACGACCGGGGGCTTATCGCCGATCGATCGGCGATGTATCGCGGATTTCAGGTCGATGCGTCCCCCCCTATGGCTGCCAGTCCCCCACATGTCAGTGCCCCCCTCGGCAAGGCCGCAGAAGCTCGGCGGCGAGCCCAAAGGGGAAGTGAGTCTAGGCATCCTAGATGGGGTCGGAGTAGATGGTATCGGAGGGTCGCGCCGCATCGCCGATGCATCGCTGGTGCATCACTAACGCATCTCCGATGTATCGGCGATGCGGCGCGATCCTCCGACCCCATCTACTCCGACCCCATCTGGGGGTCCTCTAGTGAGAGGGGGCGGGCCTCCTCAGTCACATTGCCCACAGGCGGTCGAAGGCATCGTGCGTTACATTGGGATGCTATCGCTCATACCCTTCATCCTCCCAACCCCTTCCTCGCAACACGACGCTGAGAAAGCTCGCATGGTCTCGGGCCTTCTGAGAACTCGCCTAAACATTTCCCGAAGACGCAGACAACTTCCCAGAAGGCCTGGAGGCTTTCTGAGAAGCCCCGCCGCCTTCTGAGAAGGCCTTCTCCTACACTGGTTTCCACATCGCTCGCCGCCAAGAAGCGTCATCAGGAGAGGAAGAAATGCCAATACCGCTCGGTGCCCTACCGTCGTCGCCACGGCTGGATCCGCGCAGGAGTTCTGGTCAGGGCGCACCCCTGGAGCGCACCCTTCGACTGGGGGATCGACTGCAGAATTGATTTACCTCAGATTGAACTGTCTCCTCGAATCTACGGACACATGATTTGAATCCACATTAGATTTAGGACTATTCGATTCATTCGTCGTCGTAGATCTGGTAGGGGAAAGAAATGTTCGTCGCAGGTTCGATGGGGAAATCAAGTTTGGGTAAGTCAAGTCTGTGGCCCCTACTCGAATCCCTTGAGGGCTCCGAGGAGCAGCAGCACCGGTTCGGCCTGGCGCCCCCACTTGGTTAAATTGTTGGAGTGCCGCGCGGATTTGTCACGGGTCGGCGCTGGGCCCTCCTGGCGTGCTCCACGCGCCAGGGCCGTACCAAAGCTGTGTTGCCCAGGCCAGTCTGAAGACCCGACGAGACTGGCGAAAGCTCACACGTACGACCTGCAAACAACCAGATCACATCATACAGATCACATGCTTGAGACTGTCAAGTGTTGTGTTGCGCCGAGGCAAGATATCCGCTCGGACCTCCGAAAGTTCATGCTTCTGCCGGTTGTTTGTTTCGCTCTGTGGCGGGGGGGTCGCGGTGGGGCTCCCGGCTTGTGCACGAAGCCCCTTCGGAGGCCCAGTGCCGCCGGAGCTGGCCCTTGGGGCCAGCTGCTGGATCAGGGGCAATGCCAGTGGGGAACAGGCTCAGGCGGGAACGCATCGACCCCCGGTTGCCCACTCCTTCCCGATCAGGGGCCTGGGGCCTCATGGCCCACCTCCGCCCAGGAACAGGCAGTTTCGCCATCGGGGGCCGATCGCCGATCCATCGGCGAGGTATCACCCTTGGTTCTGAGCATCCTCGGCGCGCTCCACAGTCAACACGCTGAACTGAGGATTCCTTTGGGCTCAGGAGGGGTGTTCGGGCTGTTCCTTGTAGATCGGTCGGGGATAGTGTTCGTGGCCGAGGCACGCCGTGGCCAGAAGAACTCTATGCGCTCCTTGCTCAGCCTTCCTTGTCGTAGCACGATACTTGCCTATCCCCCGCATCCGGATACTCCGCATCCGCATCGGGATGGAAGAACAATCGCGCCCGCAGAAGCAGCGAGATAATGGAGCATGGGCAAGATAAGGTTCCATTTGCGGAGAAACAGCCAGGCAGAGATGTGTCGCGTTTTTGTTCCACATTTCGCAGCCTTCCAGGGCGCAGCGAGGTCTGAACTGGGTCCCCGTGAGATCCGCTCCGCGGGACCTCCCAGGAGCTCACGAAAGTGGCAGCGGCTGTGCATCTCGCAGTCCCCCAGGGAGCCGCAAGGTCTCAATTGGGTCCCCGTGGCCCTCAACTCCGCGGGACCTCCCAGGAGCCCACGCAAATACCGCCAGATGCACATTTCGCAGCCCCCTCCAGGGAGCCGCGAGGTCTCAACTGGGTCCCCATGGCCCCCCACTCCGCGGGACCTCCCAGGAGCCCACGACAGCGGCAACAGTTGCGCACTTCGCAGCCCCCCAGGGAGCCGCGAGGTCTGAACTGGGTCCCCATGGCCCCCCACTCCGCGGGACCTCCCAGGAGCCCACGAAAGTGGCCACTTCGCAGCCCCCCAGGGGCGCAAGCAGGACAAAGAAGCTAAGGGAAGAGGAAACACAGGAAAAGGAGACAGGGGCAGGCAGTAGGAGGCAGGAGGCAGGAGGGGGGGCGGAAGAGGAGTCTTGGACAGCACAATGCTTTATCCGTAAGGGCTTCGCCCCTATGCCGCCGGCCCCCCTCTCTTAGAATGGGACTTGCCAAAGCTGTGTTGGGATGTCTGGGCGCTGACGTGAAGCAATGTCGGAACTTCACACGAGGACCACTATTTCTCTACGAGGGTTTATGGATTCGGTGGCGCCTATAGTTGTAATTTACAATGGGTCATTGTTTCGGGGTCGCGAATCTTGTGTAATGTACAAGGGTGTGTGGCCTCGGGGACGCAGCTATTGTGTAATTTACGAAGGTGTATGGCCTCGGGGGCGCACGTATCGCGTAATTTACCAGGGTTTATGGCCTCGGTGACGCGCATATTGTGTAAGTTGCGAGGGTTTTGTGGCCCCGGGGACGCAACCACAATGTAATGTACAAGGGTTGTTGGCCATGTGGTCGCGAACATTGCTGATTTTTTGTAAAGTTGTACAGTGTCGGGTCGCGCGAATATTTAGTATTTCACATTGGCTTATTATCACGGGGGCGCGAATATTGCGTAATGTGCTAAGGTTTCTCGCGTCGGGGAAGCAAGTATCGTGTAGTTTGAAAGGGGGTATGGTTTCGGGGGCGCGAGTGTTGCAATTTACTGTGGTTTATGGCCTCGGGGGCGCGAATATGCTGCAATTTACTAGGGGTTGTGGCTGCGGGGACGCGAAGAGTATGTATTTTTACTTGTACGCCCTCCCAGGAATTCAGACAACGCGATCTGGGCGTAGTAAAAAGCTGGTTTGGGGCTCCCCCTCCTCGCTCATTCAGCAACAATTAACAGTAAAGAAGCAGAAAATATGATTGTAACAGTGGAAACTGAACACTGCCACTGGAACAGGCAGCTGAAATCCTCACCCTCGCAGCCTGGTGGTCCCGCAAGGGGGCCGGTGGATTCAAAACGAGAGTCCAGCACAGGAGGGTTAGGAATAAGGCAAGTCGCACGAGGAGGGGGGGAGGGAAGAAGGAGGGGGCGGAGGTGTCGGTTTCACACTTCGCAGGCCCCCAGGGATGGCGAGGCCCCGTTGGGGCCTGCGTGGGGCCCCACTTTGCTGGCTCCCCCGGCATCCCTCGAAAATTGTAACAGTTTCGCACTTCACAGCCTCCCGGGGATGGCGAGGTTTCGTTTTGGGCCAGGTGGGGCCCCACTGCGCGGGCTCTCCCAGCAACCCTCGAGAGTGGCGACAGTTTCACACTTCGCAAACCTCCAGGCATGGCGAGGTCCTGTTTGGGTCTGCGTGGAGCCCTACTTTGCTGGCTCCCCCAGCAGCCTTGGAACGTGGCGACAGTTTCACACTTCGCAGTCCCAAGAGGGATGCGAGAGGAGAGAGCCGCGAAGAGAGCGGGGGGGCGCGGGGAGGAGGAGAAGGGAGTTGGCACGAAACCCAACCAAGGGAGGGTTGGGAAATAGTCTGGTGACGTGTTGTCGTGCTGTGTTTGGCGTGTTTTGGTAACTTCTGACTCACTATCTATTTCCTTACAACATGCGCCCGTAGGAGGACATGCCCGACCTAACTCTAACGCCACACTGGCATGCCAGATTGCTCAGGGCAGGCTCAACACACAGTAAGGCGAAGGCCTGGCCTGGCTACCATCATGGGGGTGGCCTCGTCGAGAGGCCGGCAACCGCTGGTTTCGCCGACGGCCGGTTTCGCCCAGCTAGTTGCATGCAGGCGAAGCCAGCTGCCGTCGGCGAAACTGCCCGATCCGACCTGCCCGCTGGGGTCCGCCCGACACGACCCGGCCGTTGGGGTTCGCGCGTGGTCGGTCGAGCGTGCCCCACCCTTTCTAAAGTCCCGCCCGCCCGACCCGACCCGCCCGTTAGGGTCCGCCCGCCCGACCCGACCCATCCTTACCTGGCCCGCCCGCTGGGGTCCGCCCGCCCGACCCAACCCGTCCGTTAGGGTTCGCGCGTGCTCGAGCGCGCCCCACACTTTAATGTCCCGCCCGCTTGACCCGACCCGCCTGTTAGGGCCCGCCCGACCCGACCCGACCCGCCCGGGTCCGCCCGCCCAACCTGACCCGCCCGACGACGACGACGGCGACGACGACGACGACGACAACGACGACGAAGACGACGCCGACGCCGACGCCGACGACGACGTCGGCGAAACTAGTGCCAGCGAAACCAGCGGGGCGAAACCGGCGCCAGCGAATCCGGCGGGGCGAAACCAGCGGGGCGAAACCAGCGCCGGAGAAACCAGTGCCGCCGAAACCACAGCCGTCGGCGAAGCCATCGGGGCGAAACCAGCGCAGGCGAAACCAGCTCACGCTGAGAGGCCCCCCCGCGCTCCGCGCCCTGGGGCTCGGGTGCGGAGACCGCCCTGGACTACCCTCCGTGGCCTGTCGGGGTCAGCCAGGGGTCAACTCCGGGGGATCTGTGTGCGCAGCCCCGCGTCTTGCCTGGGCACGGCGTGGAAAATGAGGAGAGCACGTTCAGCCTGTGGAGGGGGCCGCCCCCAGCAGCGATTCGCGCCATGATCTCCCTTGTCACGAGGTGGGCAGGTGCCTAGGAGAGTTCCTAGCTGATCGGTGTCGGTCTCTCGGAGAACTCCGCTTGTGGTCGGCCACTGCGTCATAGAACTCCACACACACCACGCAGCGTCTGAGAATGAGGGGATGTCGTTCCCCAGGAGGTCATCTGTGGTCCTGAAGTCTTCTGGCTTCCTATTCTGCTGAAACACCCAGGCCGCCCGCCGCAGCAACAACAGTATTACTGCGGTCGGCGATTTGCGGTCGGGGCTGGAGCGTTTGTTTGTTACCAGGGGGACGGCGCGAAGATGACCTCACGTCGCCCACGGGCCAGAGATGCTTTTCCTTGACGAGGGGGACGTGGACGGGAGAAACAGAGGGAACATGTAGAGAAGCCTGGGGGGAAGACGGCAAGAGGCTGCGGCGCACCCCCCTTGCTGCGGTGGTCCGACGTGCTCGATCGAGTGGGGCCACCATCCGTCGTGGAGCGAGCCGTCCGCGCAGGTACCTTTTCCGCTCGCAGCTCGGCTCATGCGCCCCCGGGCCAGCGCGCACGGGGGCGGAGCAGAGGACACGGGGGGGGGGGGAGATCTCCCCGGGGAGAGGCCCCGGGCAGATGGGGGGGGGGGCGGGCGGGCACCGCAGAGCCGAGGGCTGCTCGCCGGGCCGGACCGGCGGGCCCCCCCCCCTCGAAACCTGGGGGGGGGCGCTCTGCGTCCACGGGGGCAGAGGGGCCAGGGGGCAACGCTCGGGGGGGACAGGTTCGAGCGGGACTGCACCGACCCCGCCCAGGCATCGCCGCGAGTGGCCCGACAGCCCTGCCTCCCCCCCTCCCAGGAGCGTGCGGATCTGCAATCGGGAATCAAGCGCCAGCTGCCGGCCACTGCCGGTTCCCGCTCGACGGTGCCCCCCTTGCAGGGTGTTGTTGCTAGAAGTGCCCCTGGCCCAAGGTGCCCCCCAGGATTTCCAGGGAGGCCCCACGGCCTCCAGAGCACCCCATCACGAGGCTCCGAGGGCCCCAGCAGAGGGCGCCACAATGGAGCGAAAAGCTGGGGCACCTTGAGCCAGGGGCACCTTTAGCCAACCCGGTGGGGCGGGCGGGCAGGGCAGACCCAGATCCCCGACGTCTCGTTCACAGCGCTGGCCCTCAGAGGTTTAGGCCCCTTCCCCTCGGTGGATGCTGCGTCCATGCGGAGTACGCCCATACGGAGTGCTCGGGCTCCGTCTGGGCTCGCTCTGTCTGGGCTTTGCCTCGCCTGGTTCCCCATGACCAGGGTGTTCCGTCCCGGGTCGTTTTGCGGCGCTCCCGTGGCCCAGCGAGGGCCCCCTTGCGGCCGAAGATTGCCCCAAGCCGTCCGCCGTGGTGTTTTCGCGATGAGGGGGGGCGGGGGGCAGATCGGCAGCCCGTCAGAGCGGCCCTTCGCCAGAGTGACCTTTGGGTGCGGGCCCGCAGGGGTCCCGCGGTCGCTAGACGCGGTGCGATAGCAGCGGTTTGCTCGCTTGGGTTGGGGTTTTCCGCGCCCCCCTTACGCCGCGCATCGAGGGCCACTTGGTGTGGCCGAGCAGACCTGACGTGCACCTCCTTGTGCTCGCTGAGAGCTCCCCGCCCGCCATCCTGCCAGGGCTGGCCCGGGCCCGCCGGGGGCGCGCTCGTGCAGCAGGCGCGACGCGGCCTCCACCGCCGCCGTCTCCTCGTCCTCCTGCTTCCTCTGGGTTGTGGTCCCTGTGTCCGAAAAGTGGCGGGGGCTCTTGCTACTACTGTGATGCCTCCGCCTCTCTAGCTCCTTTGCTCACTCCCTCTCCATCCCGTGTTCCGACTCTCTCACACTCATAGATTCGCCTTGTCCCCAGTACCCAAGTGTTTTATTATTCGTGCCACGCCTCCGATTGCCACCTCCCGCTTCGCACTCACCCTCCTGCATCCCCAACCCACCCGTGACTCACCCTTGTCGAACTCATTCAATTTCAACTCACTCATATCCAGATGCACTCATACCCAGACCCACTCAAAGTCAGACTCACGCGCACTCAGACGCAGTCATACTCAGACTTGTCAGGCCACTCATGCTCATACGTACTCATCTTGAACGGCACTCACATTTGGACCCGGCCATGCCAATATTAAGACACCCGTACTCACACGGACCATTCAGATACACTGCCACCCAGACTCACCCGTGCTTCGAGAGCCCGGATCAGTTTTCGCCCCAGGGAGCACGTGTTATTCCTGGACGGTGGCGAGTTCTGAATTGAGGAAACGATGGCAAACGCCCAGGTCGGGGTCAGCGCCGGGGCCATTTCGAGAGGGCAGCCGTGCAAAAGAGCCTGAGTGGTCGAGGAATTGTTAGGTGTACTAATTCTTTTGTGTGCATCGTACTATGCTTTGAAAATGGGCTTCTGTCGCCTTCACCAAAGTTTGCTTCACGGGTTCTTTGTTTTGCCTCTGTGCTTGTTTCGGTTATCGTCGAGCACACCGAAATTGTGCGTCGCCTGGCAGCTTCACCTGGCGGCGCGCCATGGCGGCGCGCCAGACGACTCGTCGGCTCGCCTGCGCGTCGCGCCCCGGTGAGCATTCGCCCCCATGTCCCTGCGCATGGCGTTTGCTCCTTCGGGGCCTTGTCTTCGGCCACCAGTGGTTGCCGTCTGTTCTCTCTTTCGAAACGTGTTGTCCGACCCATGCGAGCCCCCCCGCTCTGAGCCGTTAGCACTCGGGCCCAAGCATTGTCCGACTTGCTGACCGCTGTCGGGCATCGCGCTGGTCCCTCCCAGGGGGGTGCCGACCAGGGCGGTATCACGGGCCCGTTCGCGCCCGCATGGTTGGACCTCCCGGGGGGGTTCGGACACGGTGGTGTCACGGGTCAGTTCGCGCTAAGATTGGCGAGACCTCTTGGGCAGAATGCCCTCGTTATAGGAAGCTGACTACTTTCTTTCTTCTCACGGCCCCGTGGTCACCGCGACGACGAGGCAGGCATCGCGCTGGACCCTTCCAAGGGGGTGTCGGCCTGGGTGGTATCACGTCCCCGTTCGCATCCAGCGTTTGTGGGACCTCTCAGGTAGAACGCGCCCGTCTGCGGAAGTTGACCAGTCCCCGTTCACCCCAGGTTGGTGGGACCTTTCAGTGGAACGCTCGTTTGGAGCATTGGACGTGTCCTCCTGCTTTGGCTCCTCCTCCTCCTCGTCCTCCTCCTCCTCCTCCTCCTCCTCCTCCTCCTCCTCCTCTTCCTTTTCCTCCTCTTTCCTGCTCCCTGGCCCCAAGAGATCGCATGAGGTCCCAGGAGGCCCCGAGAACCTCTAGAGTGCCCCAGGAAGCTCCAGGAGGCCCCAGGACTCTCTTCAGGATAGCCCAAGAGGCCCCAGGAGGCCCCAGGAAGCTGAAAGAAAGTCTCGGAGGCCCCATGGAGCCTCAGGATGCTCCAGGAGGGCCCATCAAGCCCCAGGAGGCCCTGGAGGCCGAATGAGGTCCCAGGAGGCCCCAGCAGGATGCCCTAAATCGTGGTCATACCGACTCGTACTAAGTCCCACTCATATTCTGACTCACCCATTTTCCAGAACACTCGAGACCAGTGACTCAATGCCAGGATCACTGACGCTCAGAGCCACTCGTTCCGGGAGGCTCCTACTCAAACGCGTTCACCCTCACACTTGATCATAATCCAGACCCGCTCATGTTCACACCAGTTCACACTTACTCACTCGTTTCAAATTCACTCATACCCAGGTTCACCCCAATTCTGACCCACGCGTACACCCACAAAGCCAAACCCATGTACACTTACGCTCGATCACACCTAGGCTGATACTTACGCATACCCACTCATGCTATGACACCCTCGTATTCAGCCCACGCGTACGTAAGCACTCGTACTCAGACCTGCTCGCAGCCACACACACGTACACCTTGCAACGCATACTCAGATCTTTTCGCGCTCAGACACACCCATTTTCAGTCACACAGTCGCTCACATGCAGTTTCGCTCTCACGCGTGCCCACTCCTTCGCAGTTCAGGTCAACTGTTGCTCAGACCCACCGGTGCTCTGTCTCCCTCGTACTCAGCCGCTCACACTGCGACCGACAACACACACGTACACACACACACTAATATCCACTCGCGCCCAGACTGATTTCTATTCAGAGCCGCTCATTCACAATTCCACGCGTACTTTCTACACCCTGACCCACCCATATTGAGCCGCTCTTACTTCGATTCGCCCACGCATGATTAGGAGCTCGCTCGCACTCAAACCGATTCAGGCTCAGACACACACTCGAATTTATAATGGCACGCCTCCATACTCGAACTCGGGTCGGCTCATAGGCACACCCTCCCAGATTTACGTAGGCACTCAGGCCCAGATCCGGTCATTTTCAGTCTCTCTTCCTGTTTCGCTCTCTCTCTCGTTGTTTCTCTCTCTCTCTCTCTCTCCCTTTCTCTCTCTCTCTTGTGTGCGTTCTATCTTTCTCTTCGTCTAGCAGTTGCATCTGAAGATGTGTCCACCATGAGGTGTTGGTTTCAGTATCTTTCTCTCTCTCTCTCTCTCTTTCCCTCTCGTTCGCTTGATCTGTATGATGTGTTCTTGTTTTCTCTCGGCCTGTCTCCCTCTGTTTTTCATCCTATATCTCCACACGCTCGGACTCGGGACAGCGCTAGAGACGAAGGTGCACATATGGGGATCCCCTCGTTCAGTAGTTGCGCCTTCGGAGGCCTCTGCTTGGGACCTCGGGGGACTCCCAGCAGAAAGCACCAGGGACCACAAAAGCTTGTTTGGGGAGGGGCTGTTTGATGCCTCCCGAGGGGGCGGTGGGGTGGGGGGTGGAGGGGCGGCGGGTTGCCACGGCTGGAGTCGCCCCGACTTCTTGGTCGGAGCGCGCTCCAGGACCCCTCCTGGAACCCGGGCCCCGTGGAACGCCAGGAAGGCGAGTTTTCGCTCCGCCTCGGGCCCAGGACCCTCAGGGATGGGTCTGGCCCGCGAAGAGTCAGACGCGAAGGTTGGGTCGAGTGTTTCGTTAGCGGTTGCTTCTCGAGTTGCGATGCCTCCGCGATGTCGGACCTCAGGGTCTGCCTCCGCCCAGGGATGGTAGGAGCTCAAGGGGCGAGGAGAGAGGTTCTGGATTCTGGTGGGTTCTGCGGGGTGTCGTCCTCCATACTCCTCCGCCTCCTTGCTGCTTCTCCCTCCTTGGCCTCCCTCATAGTCCTCCCTCCTCCTCCTTCTGCGTATCCGCCTTCCGCCTTCCTCTCTACTCTTGCTCTGCACATCCCTCGTCCTGTGCCGCCTCTTCCCCTTGCTCCCTCACCTGCCCCATCGGCCGCGTGCTCGTGTAGCAGGTTCGCCATGGCCTCATCCTTGTATCCTCCTCCACCCGTTGTTCCCCCTCCTCCTTCTGCTGCTGCTCCTCCCCTTTCTCCATCCTCCCGCCTCCTCGGCCACGCTCTATCTCGCTCTACCCCCTCCTCCTTCTGCTCCTCCTTTCCGTCCTGCCCCTGTTCCTGCTCCTGATCCCCTTCCTCATCATCATCAGCAGCAGCAACAACATCATCATCATACTATTCATCGTCAGCGTCATCATCATCTGTATTACCATTATCATCCTTATCCTCATCTCCATCCTCATCCTCATCCTTGCCATCATCACCACCACCACCGCCACCACCACCATCATCATCATCAGCATCATCAACATCATCATCACCCTCAACATCAGCATCACCATCATCACCATCAACATCAACACCATCATCAGCATCATCATCATCAGTATCACCATCGCCACCATCACCATCACTATTACCGTCCTCGTCACCGTCATCATCATCAGCAGCAGCGTCATTACCACCATCATCAGCATTAGCATCAGCCATATCACCACCACTACCGTCATTACGCCCACCACCACCACTATCACCACCACCCTGAGCACCAACATCACCGCATCAACATCATATCAGCAGCATCATTTGTTCGTCCTTGTTTTCAGCTGCTCACCAGCACCTCCCTCATCATCACCCCACCTCCTCGCTGCTTCCCCCTGCTGCTGCTGCTGCTGCTGCTGCTGCTGCTGCTGCTGCTGCTGCTGCTGCTGCTGCTGCTCCTCACGCGCTCGAAACCAGGTTCGACACGGTCCATCTGATGGGAGACCTGGCCGGCTGCAGCACTTCCGCTTCGGTTGCGACAGGGCCAAGGGCCGCTTCTATTACCGGTTCCACAAGCTGATCGGCACCCACTGGGAACACCTGCACACATCAGCATGAAGAAAAATGGTCTTGAAGGAGGATCTGTTTCGCGATTTTTGGGGCTCCCGGGGGCTCTCCCCGCGCTCACAGCGCCGTCAAGAAAACATGTCAGCCGCTCCTGGAGAAAGCATCCAGCTGCAGGACCCGTTTCCACCAGGACGCGGCTGCTTCATGTCACATACATTTGGCACCCGCGTTTCCCAAGCTCGGAGCACGGTACTTGTGCGGATCGCTGCGGTTGGAACTCCTGTCGCGGCTTGTCACGACGGCAGTGATGTTCTCCTGGTCGTCGGACCTGGAGGGCACGCTCCGTCCCCCTCCCCGGGGGCGCCAGCGACCTCTCGAAGGCCTTTGTGTCTGCTACGCCCGCCCCCGTTCCATCAGGGCGGGTCTGCACAGCGTACGTGCCACAGGCGGTTGCGCCTGCATCATTACCGCTTCGGCGAACCCTTGGGCATGCCAGTCTTAGGAGTTGGCTGTGTACCGCTGGAATTTCAACTAGGGCGTCCAAAAAGGCTTGTATCCTTAACGTGCGGCCTCATTGTTTCTCTGATTGTGCCGATACCTGTGCACTTCCCCCTCCCGTCGTTTTAGTAGTTTTCGCCCGCTTGCGGGACCTCGTCGCCATGGTTTCATTCGCTTCGGAACCCTGGTAAGAATGTACCCCTGGAGAGGCCCTGTGGAAGTTTCGGTGCTGGTAGGTATGTGCTTGTTTCCCCACATTTCTCCGTGGGCGAACCAGGGTGGTGGGGGATTGGGAGCTGGCGTTTGGGCATTTCTTTGGGAGGTAAGTGGAACTGGCGCAAGTACACCGAGCGCTACATGGCCCCTCGCGCGCTTGAGAACCGGCAGCGGTGGATACCCTCTGCCAACGCCAGGTACACCGTCGCGCGGAAGGCGAAGGAGTGGCTGTGGCTTTTGCCCAAGGGCCTGGCTGCGGCCACCACGCCGGACGAGGTTCTCGAGGTCTGGATCAGGTTTCGACACAAGCACCCGAAGAAGACATATCACTACTTCAAATTCCTCAAGCGGCTCGTGGACGTGGGCGGCTGCGACGTCTCGGACTGGCGCCTCAAGTTCGCAACGTCCAGGATGCGCAACATCCACCGGAAGGTGCTGAACCTGCCCCGCCTGGCCAAGCTCTACGGCCAGCTGCGCGCGACTTCCGAGCTGGAGCACCTGTCGCGCTTCATCTACAAGATGCTGCACAAGTACGAGCCCAGCCAGCTCGTGGTCGCCGCCAGCGCCTTCGGCGAGGCGCGCCTGCAGGACAGGCGGCTCTTTAGCGAGGTGGCGCGGCTGCTGGCTCCCCGGCTGGAGACGCTGAGCCCCACCGACCTGGTCAGGCTCGCGCAGGCCTTCGCCTCCGCGGAGGTCTGCCACTACACGCTGCTGACGCAGGTCTCTGGCCAGGCGCAGGTCAGGGTACAGCAGGCCTCTGCGGGCACGGCGCCGCCCGGCTCCTGCCCGACCTTCCCCCAGCTGACCGAGTTGGCCGAGGCCTTCGCGAGGCTGAAGCTGCAGGACTACTCCTTCTTCGGGATGTGCTCGCTGCAGGCGCGCCAGCTGCTGCTCGAGGGGCTGCCCGGGCCGACGCCGCCGGCGCTCGCCAGGCTGTGCTCGGCCTGCTCGCGCCTGAAGATCCACGAGGTCAGGCTCTACGAGTCCGTCCTCGCGCACGTGAGCGACCACTGGTACGACTACCCAGCGGCGTCGTTGGCGTTGATCGGGGCCGCGGTGGCGCCAACACTGCCGCAAGAGCCGCCGCCGGTGGCGGAGGTGTACGGCAAGATGCAGGACGTGATCGTTTCTGACGTGGACAGGCTCCAGCTGCGCGGCGTCGAGTGGGCCGCCAAGTTCATGGCCGCCGTAGAGCCCCCGCAGGACGGCCCCTCGCGCCTCGCGCGCGCTCTCATCAAGCGTTTCATGAAGCTGCGCAACGAGACGAAGGAGCGCTACGACGTGGGCAGGATGGCGGAGGTGTTTGCGCGCAGGGCGCCAGAGGATAAGGCTCTCTTCTCGGCCCTGTGCCGCCATGTCCACCGGCATTTAGGCGTATTCGAGCCGCTGGATTTCGTGCGATTCGCGCGAGGCTTGGCGGCCGCGGAGTACCGCGACGAGCGGGTCGTCCACGCTTTGGCGAAGTGGGCGCGCAAGCGCTCTGCGGAGTTTACGACGTCAGCGGGCTGAGCAAACGAAGGAAGGGAGAACTGACAACCCCGCCCCTCGTGGCAGGTGTTTCATTAAACAGCCTCTGCGCGTGTACGAGGCAGTCCCCCACGGCCGCCAGGGGGGCCCTGCGCTGATTCAGGATATCAGCGCGGAGTTCCGAAAGCTTCCGTTTTCGCATTCGACCTGCCCCCCCCTGTCAGGCGGGCCGACGCGAGCGCGTAGCATTGTTCGGTCTAGCTGTGCGCCCCCGAGAGGGCGCTTGTGCTCCTTCACGGGCGGGGCTCGGTTCGGTCGACTGTGCTGTGCGGGCGCTTCAGCCGCTCTGCGGTTGAGGGTATCGTTAGGACAGCCCTGCCTAGGAGAAGGCTGGATGAGCAAAGGGCATCATGTTGTCACAGCATGCCCACGTGCCCATACCGATGCCCTTTCCTCATGTTCGCCTTTGTGGCGGCCTCCTGGGAGACCTTCGCCTCCACGGCTGGATCCGCTGCGAGATCCTGGTCCGAGCGTGCCTGCGAGAGGTCCGCGGAGTCGCGGCACAAATCGAATATAGCTCTGTCCCTCAGGGCAGGTTTGGTACCTTTTTGGGAGCTACCCCGAGGTACGACTGGGACCGCTTCGTGAAATCAGTCGGGTCGATGAGCGTGCAGTCTCGCTTGTCGCTGCTCCAGCGGCTCCTCGAGGGGTGATCTCCAACGTAAACGTAAGTGTCGAGTTGCGCTGCCGCCCATAATACCTCGCTTTCGGGGTCCGCCGAGCATGGCCAGGAGGTGGCTGGGTGGGGGGAACGGGATGGCACGCCGTGAGTTTCGCTGTCGTTCCGATTAGTTTCCCTAAGGGCTCTTGGAGAAGCAGGGAGAGACACGTTAGCTTCGACGCAGTGGGAGTAGCCCAATGTTGCTGCTTCGCAGGGCGGAACACAGATAAGAGAGCAGAGGGCAAGGCACAGCTCAGCCGCGTCACGACGCGATGTCGCATGTTCCTCCAGCTGCTCTGCGCACCTGTACGCCCCCGAGACCCGACGTGGGGAGGAGCCACGGTGACGTGGCGGATCGGTACGATCGAAATGAGATACTGAAAGAATGGGTACGAAGACCGACAGCAAGGCCTGTCCATTTGAACAGGGTTCGCTGTCGGCGTCGCCAAAGACGTGATCCATTTTAATACAAAACGTCGCCTGCCCTACAGCGGCCGCTGTCAGTTTTGGACCATATGTGATGTTGGGCATCGCACCCATTTTTCCGTACCCATCCTGGGCGTCCAAACAGGACACACGACCTGAGGTTTTGCGAGGGATGTACCGGGCCAAAATCAACCCGCCAGGTCCCAGGGACCCATCCCCTGGATGCGAGGGTCTTTTACATAGTGGCCCCCCCTGGCCTTGCCCCAGGGAGAGGTCTGACCAGGATCTCCAGAGGTGAGTCTGGCCGTTCACCAGATAATCAGAAGAAAGACCCGCTACCACCAGCCAGGGGACTGGTCGCTCCCCCTCCCCCGTGCTGATGGCACCTCGTTCCAGGTTCCAGGCGCGCCTCGCACAGTGCCCAGAACAGAGTGCCACCAGCTAGGTTGGGAGGGCCTTCGGGAACTGAGTTCGATGCAGTTCTGGTGGTGAAGGCGGCTCTTTTTGTTCTCATGAGCAGCCGTGGCGACGCGGTCGCTACGCAAGTCCTCCACTGTTTCCTCTCTGTCTGAAAGTTTCCGGGGGTGCCGAGAGGGGGGAGTGGCTCAGTGGGGGCACACATCGGCCCCGCATCGCCCTCTCCTCGCCGATCGTGCCTCAGGTTCCCCGTCCTGCACAGGCGACCAGCGGGTTTCTCTTGTGGAGAGGGCCGGCCGCCAACTTGTCGGCGATGCATCGCCGAGTCCAATCCGATGTCCCACGCCGCCGAGTCAGTCCCACCCCTCGGCCACCCTCGGGTCTCGCCTCCGGATCCCCCTCCTCGGTTGGCCTCGGGGCCGAAGCTCGGGCCGTATGCGGCCCTTCGGGACGGCTCCAGGCCCCCCAGAAGCATGCAAAGCCTAGCAAACATCCCCACCGACCTCCCCATCTTCACCCCAGACCTTTTTGGCGACTGGGAATAATTTGAGCCACCGGCCTCTGGGCCTGTGGAGACTCCCTTCCCCAGGACTTGCGCTTCATCCCGCGTCTTCTTCAGAGTTCTGAAAGCTTCGCGAAGTTTATGAGCAAGCATTGGAACAAAGGGGGGGTAGCCGTCAAACCTAAGTTCAGGACCAGCCTGAGCAGACCCATGAGTCAACCAAATGCCTCCACGGATGTTTCGATATGGGAGCATCTTCGCAGCTAATTTGGGCCATTTTGGGGTTCGCTTTGAGCCATTTTAGTTGCCCGTGGGCCGTCTGGGGACCCTCGTAGGCCTCTCTTGGGCTCCTTACGGCCGTCTCGGATGCCGTCGATCAAAGAAGGGGGGTCCTCAGTCAGCCCTGCCCCCTGGATCCCGAATAGTCGTCCCTCGTGGTTCCGGTGGGGCGAACGTGGGGCGTTCTTTGGGCGTCTGGGGGCCTTGTGCTCTCTTGGGCCATCTTGAGGATAAAAAACCAATTGGGCGCGAAAGGAAGAGACGGCCAAACTCATGACTCCTATGTGTTTGAGTGCTTCCTTTGATGCTTGGATTTGGTGCCTCTTTGGGGCGTCCTTGGGAGGCTCGGTGGGCACTCGGAGACGTCTTGCGGCAGTCTTGGGGCCTCTTGGAGGCAACTTGGAGGGCACCTCGAGCCATGGTGGATCGTTTGGCGCCGCCCAGCAGGCCAGACTGAGCTTCCTGGAGCCATGCTGGAGCCACGTTGGCCCCACAGCATCCCCAGGATGCCCCTGATACACCCAATGGCTTGACAGTTTCATGCAAGGCGTGTGTATGTGTGTGTAGACATACATAGTTATATATATATATATATATATATGTGTATGCACAAGTCTGTTTTAGGTGTGTATATGTACAAAGGTGTATACATATATACATATATATACACATATGCATACGTACAGAACCGGATGTGAAGATCTATGTATGCTTCTGGCGTTGAGCGACAGGTTGGGTCCGTTGACAGCGCCGCCCCTTCTGGAGCCCGAAGGGTCGTCATTTGGGGACCCTTGTTGGGCCTTTTCTTGAGGCGTTCCTGGGCGCTCTTAGGGGTCGTCGCTGGGCCCCCCGAGCCAAGGCAGGCGACGGACAGGTGCGCGGCGCTCGCGAGGTGCTCGCCGCGCGTGCCAAAGGCACCCCCACCGTCGCGGCCAAACAGCACCGGAAGAAAGATCGCGACCCGCCCGCGCAGGGTCCGCGACGTTTTGCCGCAGCGTGCGTGTTTTATTTTTGTTTTCCCTGCCCTCCTGCTTCGGGTTCTCGTTTTGTAGATTTGTGCCACCGCGTGCGTTTTTGCATGTGTGGTTTCCCGGCCCTTCTGCTTCGGGCTCTCTTTTGGTATAAAGAACTGCGGTCGCGACTTCCGTCCTCCCGCCTCCCTTCGCATCTCCTCCCTCTTCCTTGTGTCTCTCCTGCCTTTTGCCTCGCTCCTTGCTTCCGGCCAGCCTGCCTCCAACCTCGCCGTCCTACGTGACCTCGCCATCCCGGGAGGGGGGGGTTGCGGACTGCGAGCTGCGAACTGCGGACTTTCGAAACCTGCGGGCGGGCAACAAGGTGGGCACCACGCGCAGATTCAGACTAGAGCTCGCCAGCCCTGAGGGGCTGCGAACTGCGAATCGGTCGTCACTTTCGAGCGATGCCCTGAGGTGAAGCATAGTGGGTGCCAGGCGCAGATTCAGATTAAACCTCACCGTCCCTGGGGGGCTGCGAACTGCGAATCCTTCGCCACTTTCGAAGGCTGCCCAGGGGACAGCATAGTGGGTACCAGGCACAGATTTAGATTCGACCTCTCTATCCCCAGGGGCGCTGCGAACTGCGAAACGGCCGCTGCTTTCTGGGGCTGCTGGGGGTTGCAGCATAGTTGGTACCAGGCGCAGGTTCAGACTAGACTTCGCCAACCCTAGGGGGCTGCGAACTGCGAGAATGTCGTCACTTTCGAGGGCTGCTGGGGTGGGCAGCATACTGGGTACCAGGCGCAGGTCCATATTAGACCTCGCCAGCCATGGGGGGCTGCGAATTGCGAATGTATTGTCACTTCCGATGGGTGCTTGGGGGCCCAGCATGTTGATGTCCTACGTGGAATCAGGTTAGCGTTCGTTTCCTTTCCCGCGGGTGGCCCGAAGACCTGCCGGCGCGCCTGCAGGCTCTTAGCCCCCGCGTTGCAAGGTGCAGGAAAGAAGCGGACAACCTGGCCGTCGAGCTCCGCCCCGCTCGTTTTTTGTTCCATTTACCATGATCTTCTGGAGTGCCAGAGCGACATGGCGCGGACCGCGCTGCTCGTCCAGCATGTCTTTGGGAAATGACCGCGCCCTCCTTCCCTATCCTGCCTCTTTCGTTGTCATCCTCTTCCTCTCTCCACCGTCTCACTGCTGCTGTCGCGTTAACTTTTCGGCCCTGCTTCCGTCCTTGCCTTGCCTTTCGTTCCCACCCCCATTGTCTTTTCGAGCCTGGGGTTTGAGTCCTCGTCCTGCTGTTGCTGTCTAGTCAGTCGTGTAATGTGCGCTTCCCATATAGCTTGGGCAACCAACGGCAGACCCTGTGCTGTCATCAGTCGTACTATTCTGGACCAGCCTCGCTTGTCTTTTAGTCAATTGGGTCGGGTACGTCGCAGGATCATGTATAGGAATGGTGGGCCTGTGAATTTGGGGCCATATGCTAAGACCACCCTCGTCACAGTCAGAATAAGGAAAGGTTGCAGCGGTGCGTCCACACACGATCCCGATTTGTGCCGTTCAGTGCATTGTGTTTGGGTTGGTGGCAAGGATGGTGCGAGGAAATCGGCGTCGGCCCTGGCTAGGAGCTGGTAGCGTGGGGGCGGGGGTGTCTATTGACGAGGAGCAGTGATGATCCCCTCCCCGAAAGGGGGTAAGGGTTGGAAGGCGAAACGATCTCAACCACCTCATCCCAGAGAGGTGGTGGGACCCATCCGGCGCAACTTTACCGAGTCGACAGAGGCCAGGGCACCGAGAGGCCACCGCTGGGGGTTCACAGAGCTACCCGTGGATGTCCGATGTCCCCAGCAGTGGCCCCAGACACCCTCGGTCGAAACAGGCCGAATGCTCCCAAGCACGGGGCAGCTTGCCGATGGGGCCCATCCGCGAGCCTTCGGTTGGGCGTAGCCCCGGACAAGTTGTGGCTGTCGTCGGGGCAGGGCCCCGTCGGTTTCGGACCCGTCGGCGGCGTCAGTGTCGTCGTTATCCTCCCCTCCACCTCGGTTTCTGTCTCTCTCTCTCTCTCTGTCTCTTTCTGTCTCTCCTCATCCCTCCCCGTTCCGTCCTCCTCCCGAGCTCCTCCCTATCCCCTCTTCCGTCCTCTGTCCATCGCCGCTGCTTCTGCCTCCCCAGGCCTTCGCTCAGTGCGTTCTGTCTGTCTGCGTCCGCCGCCATGGGTTGTGCCGTAGGGTGCCCCGTCCATGGCCTGCGCCATGTTTACGCAGCAAGGAATGCCATGCGTTGCCCCATCCATGGGTTTCGCCAGCTATGGGTGGTGAGGTGGCGCCATAGGTTGCGCCCTCGACGGCTGAAAATGAAACGGGATGCTGTTGGTTGCGTCATTGGTTGCGCCATCCGCG